TAGAGGCCCTTACTGTTGATAAATTTCTTGCCGCGCATCACCCACTATCATTTCCTGTTTCCGAGACGCGTTTTTCGTCTGGCCCTGTTGGGAGGCTAGATGCTCAGAGTGGGAGATGTCCAATAGACATTACTTTATCTTTAAGCAGAAGGGTTTGATTGAAAATGTTTGAAGTGTTGTTGAGCAGGGCTCTTGAACTACTTTGATTGCCTGGATCGCTACCGTATACTCGGAACATTGGCTAGCATTCAGACCCGAACATATCTGTATGTGTGTGAGGGCGTCACAAGATCTCAGCCCGTATCCTTTCACCCATAGTTACTAAAGCTATGTGGCCACATTTTCATCCGAGGCAAGATGCGCAATGATGCAGATAGAATTCATTGATCGCACTGATTCTATTTATTGTTTGGAAATGCAGAGTTTCGCATTCAACCCAAAGTAGCCTACTTTCTGCTTGGCTTGGGTTGAGGAAACAACTCCACACAAATCCCATTGAAGCCTGGGCCAAGGGCACGAACTCGCTGCTTTACCTACTGTGGACCTCCACTGATCATTGAGAGTGAGCGCTGGGTTGAACGCAAACATACATAACGTGGTGTGATCTCATCTCAAGATGTTGCATTACAAGTTCATCATGTTGATCCGCCTCTTGAATTTTCTTTTAACCGTATGAAATGTACGGAACTGTTAAATGATCATCCTTTGATGTAGAGTGCTGTTTGCAGACGACCAAGTCGCTGCAACTGCTTTTTGTAGGCCTAGGGACGTCTAGGGATACCAAGATGGACTTGAAGCTTCCTGCGCACGAGCATTGCCGAGCGCCTAGCAATGGTATCTCCGTGGAGGGATCCCGGGCAGCAACTGCCAGAGGCATGTTGCGCACGAAGAGCAAGGTTGGTTTGGTATAGTTGCTATACCCTAACCTTTCTTGATCTGCTTGGTGACCGATTCGGGTTGGTTTGGTATAGTTGGTATACTCGAACATTTCTTGATCTGCTTGGTGACCGATTCGGGTTGGTTTGGTATAGTTGCTATACTCTAACATTTCTTGATCTGCTTGGTGACCGATTCGGGTTGGTTTGGTTTAGTTGCTATACCCTAACATTTCTTGATCTGCTTGGTGACCGATTCGGGTTGGTTTGGTATAGTTGCTATACCCTAACCTTTCTTGATCTGCTTGGTGACCGATTCTCGGTGTCCGATTCTGGGGTCCGATTCTGGTGTCCGATTCTATTATCCTGGTGTCCGATCCTGGCAATCCGGCTGTATGTTGCCAACATACAGGGCCACGAGAGCTGTAGGTTGCCATCATACAGGGCTACGAGGGGCTGTATGTTGCCAACATACAGGAACATTGGGGGTTGTAGGTTGCCAACATACAGGGCCATGAGGGTCTTAGGTTGCCAACATACAGGGATACGAGGGCTGTAGGTTGCCAACATACAGGGCTATAGGAGTACAGGGCTACGAGGGCTGTAGGTTGCCAACATTCAGGGCTAGGAGGGCTGTAGGTTGCCAACATACTGGGCTACGAGGGCTGTAGGTTGCCCACATACAGGGCTACGAGGGCTGTAGGTTGCCAACATACTGGGCCATGAGGGGTGTAGGTTGCCAACATACTGGGCCATGATGGCTGTAGGTTGCCAACATACAGGGCCATCGGGGCTGTACGTTGCCAATATACAGGGCTATGTCAGCTGTAGATTGCCAAGATAGAGGGCTACGAGCTGCCAACATACAGGGCTGTGAGGGTTGTAGGTTGCCAACATACAGGGCTGTGTGGGCTGTAGGTTGCCAACATACAGGGCTGTGTGGGCTGTAGGTTGCCAACACACAAGGCTATGAGGGCGGTAAAACTATGAGAGCTGTGGGTTGCCAACGTACAGGGCCATGATGGCTCTAATCCTCCTCGTCCTCGTCTCCTCCTCCTCCTCCTTCTCCTTCTGTCTTGCTGTGCTCGCTGCCACACGGCCAGCTCCGGATGCTGTGGGGCACACCTGGACCCGAACACCATATCGCCAGCTCCGGATGCCCAGATAGAATGCCATATATACTTCCAGATGGTGTGTCAGAAACTATGCCAGAATAGTGTGTCAGGGTGGGGATCACGACGAAAGTAATTGAACTGCATATATATTTTCTATAAATACATCCTATGTACACACCTCCAGCTACTGCTGTGACAGCATGCACGACGAGATAGACTCATAATATATATATATATATGAATATATATGATATATGTATAAATAATGTGTGTGTGATTGTGTGTGTGTGTATGTATATGTGTATATATTCTACGGTTCCCATTGCATTGACATATATCTTTACATACAAGTATGCGCATATCTACTACTACTAATGATTTGCAGCAACAACATGCTGCAACAACATACTGCACACCCTTCAGCGCAGGTGGTGTAGGAGATTCCTTTCGCCCAGGGCCAACCACAGCCAAACGGACCCACGGACCCCATGAATCCGCACAGACCCCCCGGACTCACCCCACGGACCCCGCACCGGACCGGCAACGGACCCCACGGACCCACGGACGCCACAGACCCGTAACGGACCTGGGCCGGAATTGGACCATAGCCACGTTTGCACACTTGTAAATACACTACTCTACATATATTGAGATGGCGATGGAGAGAGAGAGAGAGAGAGACACACACACACACATATATATATATATAAATATGTATATGCATATTTCTTGTCACATTTAGTCATGCATCATATACACTTAATTATATTCAACTACATATTAGAGTTACTTTCATGCAGATCCTGTATCCCTGAACAAACCCTAATCCAGCCCTAAAGAAACCTTAAGCAAACCCAAAACAGACTGTATATCAAGCTTGATTAACTGCAATGACACCCTGTATCCTAGTAAAAATCAGTGATTTCTATTAACAAATCAGTGAAAACCATGCCCATGGAAAAATCAATGAACACCACGTTAAAACCATGAAAAAAAGGACGGAGGAGCAAACTGATGTAAAATAAACGGATCTTTCCTGGCAGGTAGGGAAAACATGTTCAAAACAATGCAGCCACTTCCAAAATTCTTTTCAAGGCAAATTTCTCAAAATTGAAGCGTTGTTTCTTCTGAAAACTGACGCTCCCCCAAATGCATGCCATTTATGAAGAAAACTTCCAGCATCGAAACCTTGTTTTTGCGGAACACTGATACCCCCAATTTGGATGTTTTTTGTGACAAATATATATAATTTAATATTGAAACATTTTTTGGTAAACAACAAGTGATGTTCAATGTTTTTCGTTAATAACAAACTGTCACCATTGAAACCTGGTTTTGCAGAACACTGACGACCCAAAAATGCATGTTTCTTAACGAAGAGGACATGTTCATAAGTTTTCAACCTTAACACTTGACACCCTTTTTTGCAGAAAAAAAATGCCCAAAAAAGGCCTTTTAACATTTGTTGTAACAAGTAAATTAGATTGTCAGCACTATTTTTTTGTGCGAAATTATTGGCTTCCGAAATGCATGTTTTTTTAAGGAACCACAATGCTGAAACTGTTTTTTCGTAGGTGAATTCTTGATGCATTTTTTTGTTGCAAAACCGAATGCATTTGAAAATGCAAACAGTTTGTTTTTGGAATATGTAAATTTCAGATTTAGTGATGTGCTCCTCCCTCCTCTTTGCGCCCCGGCCGTGAGAAAACAATCTGTATGCGCAATCTGAATGTACGGAGATTCTCTTGGATTGCGGATTGCGCATTAGGTCTTATGATAAGATCACACAAGTAAAACATTAAGACATATATGATTTTGGACCAGCGACGGGACGAGTGAAATCAATCAGCCAAGGCAGGGGACACAGGACCACGGTATCCAGCTAAGGCAGGGACATATGACCAATGTATCCTTTCAAAGCAACGATTTCAACATTTAATTTTTCAATGAGTCCTTTTCTCATAGTGAGCGAGGTGTTTTGGGTTTTGTTTTAATTGTGATGTGAAGTATCTTTGATCTCAGTATATAATATACATGCCATCTATTGTAGTATTCTTGACTCATTTGTCCGCTTCCTAGCTCATCTCATCCGTACCGGGTTCACCTTTCTTTTCATCTCAATTGCAAAAACAACCACCAGTTTGAACCCCAAATCAAATAGACCCGAATCAAATGAAGTGTTACTATGCTGGTTCATTCGCAGCCTGATTAAAACACGACATGAGACAACCATTAAAAACGTTCCAAAAGGATCCAAAAGGTTCAATCTTGAACGTAAGTAGAGTTTCGATTACATTATACACATATATACATATAAACGTGTAAACCGATTTGCGCTTATAGGTCTTAAGTGTACATGTGAAATGTGGAAAATAGTTTTGGCTAGTAAGATTAAAGAAATACGTAACTCCTGCCCGCAGTCTAGTAGTTTTACCAATTTACAGGACTCAAGTTTCCAGGCTAAAAGCGCCACACTCAGAACCATTGCATACCGACGAACAAAAATACACAGGCAATAGAGCGCACAGACAAAGGCTGAGAGCATGTCGCGCAAGCGTGTGGGGCAAAGCTGTCGGGGAGGTTGTTGTGTATTCAGCCACAGATGCCTTGTCGAGTTGTGGATCTTATGGACCAGAGTTGCCACAGAAACAGTTGGCTTGCAAAAGTAGCAGAGCATTCAAAATGTAACCACACACATCGTATAACAGAACGACTTTACTACGGTTTTTCGGTCGAGATCGGTCGGATAGCCTAGGCCCCTCATGCGTTGAAACGGTTCGGTCAGCAAGCTTTCTTTGAGCACGGCGCTGAGTGGGGTTGGCGGCGTTTTGGCAGGTAGGTAGGTATTGGACATGTGAGCCAAGCTGGATGCAAAAGTCTTGTGCGTCATGCGGTTTCTTTCTTGTGGTGCGTGTTGCTGGAGAAACTTGACCGGACACATGCACGCAGCTCTTTTCTGATCAACGCTTTCGCCGCTTCGCAAAACCTCCGCCCTTCAATTCAACACACAATGGGAGGTGGCCGCAACCCCCATCGTGAAGAGCAAGTGAAGGGTCTGAACGTTGTCGCTTTGGCCCATGGTAAAGCAGCTATCCGTGAAAACGCGGGCCGCCCTCTGGTTAGGGACTTGGTCGCGGAGCTCTTGCGCCTGGAACTGACTGCCGCGCAGCGGGACAAAGTTTCCCAGCTCTCAGCCTCATACGAGGCAAGCTTCGGGGAAGCGGGCGAGGGCCCCCAACCCGAAGCCAACGAGGACGCCGGCAGGCAGGGTTTTAGCCTGGTTGGTGGCATCCATATATACCATATATATTGTGAAAGCCTTGTTTTCTTCGTTTTGGCTGTTTTGTGGGGTTGATTGGTATGGTGCCTCTTTCGGACCCTTGGCAGGGCATGGAAGTTTTCGGCCGTGCAGCTGACCTACAACTCCTCTTCCGAGGAGTTTGGTGCACAGGACCTTGACGTCCTTCGCCGGCTGTTTGACCGCTTTGTGGTCTTCCTTGGCGGCCTTTCCGAAACGCTTGGCGCACAAGGTGTGTCGGCGACCATGGAACGCGCCTCCCCCTTGCAGGCAAGGGCTGAAGGTAAACATTCCTGCTAGGCTGTTTTGTGGCTTGTTTCGTTGGTTCTTTGGCGCCCCTGAGGTGCATTTGCACGCCTACTTGCACCTCAAGAAGCCCTTCCAACGGCGTGGCGCCGACGCCCTGCGCCCCTTTGCCTTTGAAGGCATCCGGCCCCACCTGGAACCTAACCGGGCTTCAGGCAAAGCCTTTGCAGGAGCCATCCGCCTCGGCCATTTCTACGTGGTGGCGGACAAGGTCGGCTCCTTGTTTCTTAGGCTGCACAAGTATGGGCCCATTTTTTTCCCTCAACGCCACTTTGCCGAGTGTGTGCGGCTGTGGCCTCCGAGGTTTAACTACACCACGTACCCCCCCTTCCAAGCTTATGCTGTGGAAGGGTGGTGGCTGGACAACCTCCTCAAAGGCGGGAAATTGACCCGACAAACTTACCTGACCTTGGCTGCCCAGGTCACGGTAGGGTTCCAGAAGAGGTTGGGGGACTGCAAGGCAGCGGAAAGGTACTTGCGAGAAGAGGCGGTGCGCGAGGCTGTCCGTGCGGCGGGACAAGCCCTGGCGCCGACCAAGCTGCCAATGAAAGTTTTCCCCGAAGTGGAGGCCCGGGTCAGTTTGTCTTGGTGAAGTTTGGAGCATCCGCCCAACTTTGGAAAAACTTTTTTTTTGAGTGGCCATACCATGTCTCAGGACTTTATTGGACGTCACGATGGGTCGCCTCAGTTTCGCCGCCCAGTGCTGGCCATTGTGGGTGGGACGCGGCTTGGCAAATCAATGCTTGCCGCCAACATCCTAGACCGCATTGCCTGCCGGCTCGGGCTGCCTGGGTTTTTGGAGGTGGGCACGGCCAAACAGAGATGGGTTCACAAACCCAGAATTTAACCATTGACTTGGAATTTTGAAATATTTTGAGCTGATGCCAGGTGACAGTCGAGGAGAGTGAGCAGATGGACTTAGCCGAGTTTGACCGCCGCGAACATGCGGGCGTCATTCTTGACGGAGTTTCTGATGCTTACTTTTTGAAAAGACACCGTGAGGCTTTGCAGGGGCGGCCGAAGGCGCTAAAGAGCGCAAAATCAGCCACGAATGTGTACGCATACACGTACTCCTTTTGTGGCCGGGCTGTTGTTGCCACTTTGGACCTCTCTGCCGAGAATTTAGAGGCTTTTGATGAGGACCACTGGCTGCGCAACCGTGACAATGTCATTTATCTGAAGCTGCAAGAGCCTGCTTATATCCTTGATAATGCTGTTGCCGCTGCTGCTCCGGCTGTCTCTTCTCCTGTCCCAGCGCGCGAGAACAAGCGACGGTGGATTGCATCGCCGGGCAATGACGAAAACATTTTTCATTGATGCAGATCAAAAGAAAGCTTGCTGCCTCCTGCCATGTGTTGGGGTGCAAACTTCTGGCTAGCAGCGGGCTCTTGAACTTGACAGTTGATTGGCTCTTGGTTCTGCTCGGATGAGGTCATGCGATCTTCACATTTGGAAGGCGGTGCTATTGGGAGTTTCACTACACTCCACCTGTTTATCCATTGAAAACAGGAACTTGGGGCGAAACCTTGTGGAATTTCATTTTCTGGTCATCACCCCCCCAGTAGTTTTTGGGCAAATTTTGTTTTTTGTGCGCGCTACACGCGCACATACACATGCATGCGTTTTTACAGCAACAAATGGAAATATTGATGTTTATTTTTGGGTTCATCAATACATTGATTGATCGATAGGCAGATGGATGGATGGATAGATAGATAGATAAATATATTTTTTTTAATCCATGCATGAGAGAGAGAGATATATATAAATACAAGAGGTATATTTGTTTGTTGCTCTTGGTGACTGCCGCCATTTCCCACCATGACATGGGTGCCGCCACCTTATCATAGCCAATTGAAGGGGCGGTTGCAATCACCACCAGGGCCGACGTCGGTGTTGAAGATGCTCTTCCAACAAATTTCCAATTCGGTAGTTGATGTAGTTGGTGGTTGAATCATTTTTTTCATCCATGTCCATGCAGGCTTCAAAGAGGCAGTACGGTTCCCTGTCTACTAGGGGAAGGCCGCAGTAAGTCCCAAGTCTCGTGTTATTAGTATCCATTTTGGTTGGTAAGAGTGAACGATTTTCAGCTGAAATTCATCACCCTGAGCGCTTGGGAAGTGGGGCCACAATGGACCACAAAACGCCACTTGGATTTCGAGACTTGTTTACAAAGGATGTCAATGGCGCCTTGGATGATTAGTCATTGCATGCCGGGGGCCCAGACCTTGGCCAGAAAGAGGTGTTGTCTTGGAAAGACCACTTGGATGTGCCTCAAAATTGAAACCCAAAAAGAAGATACAGTTAAACCTTTTCAATGCCACATTCTTTGCTGTTGAAAACATCCATCAACATCCATCAACATCCATCAACATCCATCAACATCCATCAACATCCACCACTTCATTTAGTTTCATTAAACCGTTGTACGTATGCCTCAGGCAACAAATCCTCCGCTGTCTCGGTGATTGTGCATGGAAATGCCTCGTGATTGTGCATGGAGATGCCTCACATTTTTGATGAACCCCAGCCAAACCCGAAACCATTTGGATTTGGTTTGATGTTGTTTTACATGTTGAACTTCAGCATGAACGAAGATCAGATTTTCATTATTCAATTGTGTACTGTATCTATAATTATCTATATAGTTATCTGGATTTTTAACTTTTGGTTTCAACAGTTGCTGATCCTGAGGCCCTTCCCACAGTCAAGCGATGCCATGCCTGTCGACAGTCGGCGGCATCCTCTTGGTGAGCGCGGGGCATTAACCGCCAAAAACGTGGAAGATTCGGGGTACGTTAATAGGACCAACAAACACGGCCTTGGGGGTTCAATCATGTTTGGGATCCGGATCTGAGTGACAGCTGGTGGCATTATGCGATTGCCTACACAAGAAACACCAACTTTGCAGTGGGTGGAGGCGTGAGCAATCCGACAGGACCTGCGAAGAGAAGGCTGGGCAGCTGGGCGATGTTGGCTGTTTTATGCTGTCTTCATGTCGCTGTCAGGGCCATTCCAGGTTGAGAAGTTGTTGATTCCTCTTTGGGGCACCGTGTAGCACTAACACATTGGCCCGACGGAGATATAGTTATTAGATTCAGTAGCTGCCGTCTACGGCACTCTTCTCCAGCAAGAGGCAAAGGTTTTGAAACAATCAGAGTCCAACTTTGTTTGGCCATGTTTGGTCAAGATTTGGTCAGACTTTGTATCAATTGGTCAACAGATTGGCATCAGTTTGCACTGCATTATGGTAATTTATCTCACAACACTTGACTCATACATGTAGATATATAGAGTTAGATAGATAGATATATTAGATTAGATTAGATAGATGAGATGAGATTGGATTAGATAGATGAGATGAGATGAGATGAGATGAGATTGGATTAGATTAGATAGATGAGATGAGATGAGATGAGATGAGATTGGATTAGATCAGATTAGATTAGATTAGATGAGATGAGATGAGATTGGATTAGATTAGATTAGATAGATGAGATGAGATGAGATGAGATTGGATTAGATCAGATTGGATAGATGAGATGAGATGAGATTGGATTAGATTAGATTAGATGAGATGAGATGATATGATATGAGATGAGATTGGATTAGATTAGATTAGATTAGATAGATGAGATGAGATGAGATTGGATTGGATTAGATTAGATAGATGAGATGAGATGAGATGAGATGAGATTGGATTAGATTAGAATAGATTAGATAGATGAGATGAGATGAGATTGGATTAGATTAGAATAGATTAGATAGATGAGATGAGATGAGATGAGATGAGATGAGATTGGATTAGATTAGATTAGATAGATGAGATGAGATGAGGTGAGATGAGATGAGGTGAGATGAGATTGGATTGGATTGGATTGGATTAGATTAGATTGGATAGATGAGATGAGATGAGATGAGATGAGATGAGAGAAGATGAGATGAGATTGGATTAGATTAGATTGGATAGATGAGATGAGATGAGATGAGATTGGATTAGATCAGATTAGATTAGATTAGATGAGATGAGATGAGATTGGATTAGATTAGATTAGATTAGATAGATGAGATGAGATGAGATAAGATGAGATTGGATTAGATCAGATTAGATTAGATAGATGAGATGAGATGAGATGAGATGAGGTGAGATGAGATGAGATGAGATGAGGTTGGATTAGATTAGATTAGATGAGATGAGATGAGATGAGATTGGATTGGATTGGATTAGATTAGATAGATGAGATGAGATGAGATTGGATTAGATTAGATAGATAGATAGATAGATAGAAAAATAGATAGATAGAGAGATAGATAAGATGATATGATATGAGATGAGATGAGATTGGATTAGATTAGATTAGATAGATGAGATGAGATGAGATGAGATGAGATGAGATTGAATTAGATTAGATTAGATTAGATAGATGAGATGAGATGAGATGAGATGAGATTGGATTAGATTAGATAGATAGATAGATAAGATGATATGATATGATATGATATGAGATGAGATTGGATTAGATTAGATTAGATAGATAGATAGA